ATTCTCCGTTGACTTCTAATCTGGGCATGATTAAGAAAGCTATTTTATCATTACCAAAATTGTGCCTCCGAACGTTTTGAGTTGACGCAAGTTGTTCTGGTGCTATTCCATTTCAATGCCTCAAAATCTCAAAAGTTCTATTTTGCTTAGATGGAAAATTTGACATGCGATTACGATTGGATCCATTTTGTAGGCACTGTGGAGATATGGCGAAAATATGGTAAGATTAATTGGGGTTATCTGACATGCTGATCATGAGTATCATAACCACAACGAGGGCCTCGTAGAGATATGGTAGGTTACATGAGAGATCGAAATCAGGGATTTGCCTGCAAATCGACATAGTATTTATGTGCTAATAGAAAAAATCACACTCATTCTGCTCGAAAGGGTCCTTCTGTGGAATCACGATAGTCAGCGGCAAGGGATCAAAATTACGGGATTTGACCATATACTCGTGCTAAGTATCATAAAGCATTTCAAGTTACCCTGTTTGAGCATTTTTAAGGCGATTCCGTAATTTTACTCCATGCTACATCTACCGTAATTCCACAGAAAGGCTCCACCGTGCGAGATATTATAATCCGATCACCATGTCTAATAACCCTTTGGGCGAAGTCTTCAAGGTCCAAAATTTTGAAGTTTTGGAGCACTGTGACGTCCCGGTGCGTCTACCAGTTATAATGAGTTTCCACCTGAAAAATGGCCCTCAAACCAAGTGGGTGCGAATGGATGAACTTGTGCCCATTTCGACATCATTTAACCCCTCCTATCAAGTTAACTATAACAGGAACCTAAGGGAAATGTATCTCTTTATACGGACGCTAGGTACATGGTGAATGTTCAATACATCGAACAAATGATATTAATCGAAAAAAACCGACGTAACGCAATAAAAATTAGGATCGAGGAGTGGTATATTTTCGAAATTTTGGGAAGAGCAGTTAAACCAATTACATTTGCCAATGGAGCGTATCTATGGTAAAAGAAAAGAGCCAAAAAAACTTTGATCGTTGAATGCGATACCCCAAACCGCTTCTGTACCATTTGCCGAAGTAGTCGAAAAGGGAAAGATTCCCGCTTATAGTTTGACAAGGGGACGGAGAAAGGTTGTTAAAGTCTAGCCTTCAATGCAATTGTCAAACGCTGCAAGGTAACGTTCCGCGGTACGTGAGTTCGACATAAGATCACAGCAGCACTTTTTGCAACTACTAATGCCATATGAATGGTCTTTTTGACAATCTAGGCTACGGCTGTTTGAGGAGCTCAGACCTTTGAGAAAGTTGTACAGCGCACAGCCAACCTAGTTTGAGAAGATCATACAGGACGTATCAACGCATACATGACTAACGGCCCCTTTGCTGTGGCTGTCAAATCTGAAGAAAAACTTCTAGAAGAGAGGCGTCTTGTCTTGT